CGACTCTTCTTAACCCTTTACATGGAAAAGGATTTTGGAGTTTCTGACCGGGAGGCATTTTATAGTACTATACTCAGGACAGCTGTTACCCTTCCCTTTATAGTTATGACACACACAAACCCTTAATTCGAGTGCAATGGTGCTTTTAACTGGAGCTGGCTGGCCCGTCAGGTCATGGGCGGCCTGTGACCCGCCTGTTGGGGGAGGCTAGCCCCTGGCCCCTCCCCTTCTGCCCAAGGCCCCCTCCCCTCTCCTCTCCCTCCCCTTCTGCCCCCCCTACCCTGCAGGAGCCTAGAGCATCCCCACTACTGGCCCCAGCGCCAGGTGGCCAGGTGGTGTGGCAGCAGTGCCCCCACCCTGGTGCACCAGGCAGCCAGCCCTGGAGCGCTGGGTGGCCGGGCGGCATGGTCTGAGCATTGGGTGGGCAGCGCAGCCCCGTAGTGTTTCCAATTTAGCTATTTTGTCACTAGATTTAGTGACTTTTTGGTTTTCCTAGCGAGAAAATAAGTGTCAAAGTGACCAGTGACAAATCTAGCGACTTTCACTGCCAACTACAGTGACATTCAGAGAAAGAAATCACCAATATGTATAGTCACAAAATCATTCACAAGCAGATCAATAGTGTTAACAAAATCCATTTCGTGCTCTTCTTACTACATTCTGCTGCACACCAAGTCAATGTCATCATGTCTCAATTGAGCATGTCCTCGGAAGGAATCGCATTCCAGGGCTTCTTGGGATGAGATCACTGGAATCTGCAGGCAAGGAAAATAAGTTTGTGGAGGCTAATTAAATACTTTGCTAAAGCCAGGTGCACTTCGGAAAGAGCAGCACGTTAGCCAGGGCTTGTTTTTACCCAAATGTTTTTTCTCTCAGCTCCGTAGTAGGTAGTACACCCGGTCAGGCAGGGAAAGCCAGCTAATGAAGCGGGCTGGGTGGGAGGCAGGTTAGCCAGTGAGGAGAGCCGCACAGATGGAAGATGGGGTGGGATGAGACAGGGCCATGTGCCCAGTGGGGCAGGGGACACTGTGTGTCCAGGAACGAAGCCCTTATTACAGGATCAAAGGTGGAGCTAGCTTGATTTCAGTTCCCCTTTACTCCTTCCCCTGGCTTGGCCTGGGGTTAGCTGCCCAGCTGTTTTCAGAAATGAAACCCTGGAAGCGGGCGGAAGGGGTCTGGGTAGTGGATTTTTGTTTTTAAATCTACTTTCTTTGCTCCCTGCAGCGCTGAGCTCAGGCCAGGCGAATGCCCTCCTCCCCCTGGCTCTGGGCTCTCCCTTTCACTAACCTGTTGGCTCAAATCCATGCTGGCAAGAGTCGGCCGAAATTAACCAACCCCAGCCGGCCTGGGTTGCAGAGTACAGAGCATCCTTCCCAATAAGCAGAGGGCTGTAGTTTCCTTCCCAATAAGCAGAGGGCGCCCTCCTGATGTAGTTGCTGCCGGTGTGCAACAGAATGTAGTAAGAAGACCATGGAATGAATTTTATTAACATTATCGAGCTGCTTGTCAATGATTTGAGAACATTGCAAGCTCTCCCGGGTGCTGGGACTCCAGCCCCGTCAGGCCACGCAGACTGCTAGTTTCGGCAATATAAGAGATCTCGGGTTGCCGTGTCGAGCTTTTGTTGGTAGTCCTCCAGTTTGTCATGCACCTTCTGGTACAGCACAAAGCTGTAATGGTTTGTCGTGTTCTCTCCCAAGGCCTGAAGCAGCTGGTCAGTACCTGAGTACAGAAGAAGGGAGGAATACTTTAGAAGAGCATGGAATGGATTTTATTAACACTATTGAGATGCTTATGAATGATTTTGTGACTATACTCGCCTGGGTATGTGTTTGCGTAGTGTGTGTGTGTGTATATATAATTCTCTGTTGCATTCTCTGGATATAATTCTCTGTAAACTTTGTTCAGTGACATTTTTGACTCCTTTTGAGTGCTTAAACAGCTACATCTAAGGACTTTTCAGGGTTTGTCTGGTGACTTCCTGCTATGTGGAGTTGGCAACACTGACTTCCCTCCTTACCAAAACAACACATTCCCCCAGTACGTTACAAACACACTCCATCTAAATTCACATATATCAGAGAGGGTTCCCCACAGTTCTGAATGCCAGTCTCACAATTCTGACTGTCACCAGCCCAGTCTGGGGAACCCCCTCTTCCTCTCAGCGTTGGCGAGGGCTCTGCGCTCAGAGTCTCTATTTCTCCCTCACGCTCACTGAGCATCAGGATCAGGAGGCCTTGTCTCCTGGGTGGCCAGCTGCTATTTCTCCTGCAGCCAGTTGCTATTTCTCTTGGCAAGCCATCTGTAGCTCGCTTTCTGTGGCCTCCAGCCCCTCTGGGAGATCTCCAGTCCTTGGGATGGGAGCCATAAAGTAGGCGTTTATCCTAGTAGTCACTAGAAGGGAAAGCGACTCACAGTTTGCCAGAGGGTTACACAACAGCCGTAAAACTCTGGGACTCAGTCATAGATTCCAAGGCCAGAGGGCACCATTGTCATCTAGTCTGACCTCCTGGATGACATAGGCCAGAGACCTGCCCCAAAATAATTCCTAGAGCTTTGAGAAAAACATCCAATCTTGATTTAAAAATGGCCAGTGATGGAGAATCCACCGTGACCTTGGGTAAATCGTCCCAGGGGTTAATTACCCTCACTGTTAAAAATGTACACCTTATATCCAGTCTGAATTTGTCTAGCTTCAACTTCCAGCCATCAGATTGTGTTAGCCAGCGGGTCTCAAACTGGGGGTTTTAATGGGGTCACCAGGGCTAGTGTTAGACTTGCTGGGACCTGCTGCCCAGGCCGAAGCCCGAGCCCTGCCACCTGGCACTGAGGCCTGAGACTGGTTCAGGTTACAGGCCCCCTGCCTGGGGCTGAAGCCCTTGGTCTTCGGCTTTGGCCCCTCTGCTCAGGGTAGTGGGGCTCAGGCTTTGGCTTTGGCCCACCCGCCCAGTGCAGCATGGCTCAGGCGGGCTCAGACTTGGGTCCCCCATCCTGGGGTCATGTAGTAATTTTTGTCGTCAGAAGGGCGTTGCAGTGTAATGAAGTTTGAGAACCCTTGAGTACAGAACAGAAATATTTATTGAACACTTCTGCCTTTTCTGCATTATTATTGTTAATTCTACCTTTTTCATCCAGTAATGGACAATACTATTGTCAGGATTCTTTTTGTTCCTAATATATTAAAAAAAATCTTTCTTACTGTCCTTAACTCTGCTGGCCAGGGATTTTTCTTTGAGTCCCTTTGCTTCCCTTATCACTTTCCTACAATTCCTAACTTCTGATTAATATTCATTAGTGTCAACTTCCCCTTTTTTCCACTTGTTATATATTATTTTTGTATTTTTATAGCTGCCTTCACTTCCCCTCTAAACCAGATCTTTGTTTAATCAGCCCAGCCTTCTTCCTCAGTTATGGGATTGTGGCTTTTGGGGCAACTAGTAAGGTGTTCTTAAATAATTCCCAATGATCATTCACATTTTTATGGTTAAATTCTTCCTCCCAGCTGATTTGGCTCATAATTGTTTTCAGCTTTGTGAAACTGGCTCCATTCAAGCATCAAGTATATATATATATATATACCTCTACCTCAATATAACGCTGTCCTCGGGAGCCAAAAAATCTTACTGCGTTATAGGTGAAACTGCATTATATCGAACTTGCTTTGATCCACTGGAGTGCGCAGCCCTGCCCTCCCCAGAGCGCTGCTTTACTGCATTCTATCCGAATTTGTGTTATATCAGGTCGCGTTATATCAGGGTAGAGGTGTATTACTGGTCTGGACTTCAGGACTTCATTCTGCTTGCATAGTACAAATGTGATCAAGTCATGATCACTTGTACTTAAGCTACCATTAGTTTTAATTCTGAGATGGGAGTGTGATTTAGTGGTTAAAGCAGGCAAAACTGGGGGTCAAGAATCATAGGTTCTACTCCTCGCTCTGAGAGGGGAATATGGCCCAACAATTAGAACAGCTGTGATAAACAGCATAGATCTAACAGATTTGTGCTAAGTGGATGAGGTTGGAATCTACCATCTCAGAGATCAAGGTTCTATTTCCTGCTGTGCTAGAAATGACCTTGTCCAACCCCACATTTTACCCCATTTGTAAAATGGAGTGGCTGATGCTTTTCTGCCTCTGCACCACTGTGATGAATATGGCGATGCTTGTTCTTGTTTGGAAGGGGTCAGGCAGGAAGGAGAAGATGGTCATCTGTGGTCTTCCACTTAGAGCTGGCTCGATCCCCCGCTGAGCCTACAGAACGGGCTTGGCCTGTGCCAAACTAGCCAACACTGCAGAAGCCTGGGGGAACCAGGTTGCGAATTCACTTAGACGTGGAAACTGTGGGGTGTCTGCGGAACACTGTTGGCCAAGTCACCGTGATGGCGTGGTAGTACTTTGGGTAAGGTAGACATGCCTTCAGGTTGTCTGTTTTAACATCCTTTTCTCTAATGTTTTGTCCCCAATGCTCAATACAAATACTTTGGCTGCTGGTCATTATCACTGGTCACAGGCTCCTGAAGGGAAGAACCACAGGTGCCCAGAGTCCAATTTTACCTGACGGGTGATAATGACTGGCTACCTGGGGTAGCCTGATCTAGTCCTGGCCTAAGAGTGGAAGCCTCCCACAATTCCAACCTGTGATAGGCAAGTGGCCCCAGGCCTGAGGTGAGTGCTCCCAGAGACAGCAGCAAGGGGACAGAGGTTGAGCTAGCCTTGTAACCATGAGAACCACTATTATGGTACAGGACTATAGGGTATGTACCATTTAGGTGTCTTAATTTTTTCATTTCCTTGTTTTTGTGTCGGGACAGCTTGCGTAGATTAAACAGAACCAACAGAGTTTTCCCCAGGTTGTTGGACTAAGGCCTTGGCTACACTTACCCGGTAGTTCGGCGGCGAGCGATCGAACTTCTGGGTTTGACTTATCGCGTC